TTTAGTATATAGCAATATTATTATTGCGATATGGATCTTAGGGTAATAATCGATCAATTGATCAATAATAATGATGAAGATTATATAGATAGTTTCCGCTTTGATATTGAGTTGCACTTTGAAATCCCGTGGATAGATCTCAAATATTATATAGTTTTACACACCCAAAAAATTAACATTTTTTTATTCGTGTGAGCACTTAAACCACGTTCCTGTGGGCTTTTGTGCAAACACCTATTATGTGATCGCGAAACGTTAGTCTTGACGTAAATCGAACAGCTATGTCCTTTCATGCTGTATAGCGTATGCTGATAAGATGAATATATAATGTCTATGTGCATCTTATCTCTCGCGCCACAGTCGTCAAATGCGGCACTAACGTATGGGAGAGTCATTAAAATTCCCCGATTACAGTAGTAAGCACTTTGTTAATAAGAATAATTATGTATAGAATTTTCTACAAAAATCTGTACGCGGCCTTATTCTTTCACCTAAATAGACACGTCATTAAAGTTATTCTTCAAACTCATTTATAAATTTTGTCTTTTGTGTTGTGCTGAAGATGTGATGCCTTTTTTAAAGGAAGTATCGGAAAATTACGACAGTTGTTCGAATGGTTTCACGGAAAATTTTAAATATTCGCATTATCAAAGGTACGAGCCGTATGTAAAATATCATTTAATATATATATATATGAATGTTTTATTTATTAAACAATTATTAAAGTTATATGAAACAAAAATCCGAAATACAATTTTAAAAATGAAAAAGCACAAAAAAGGTATATATATTAGAGAAGGGGGTGGTAATTTGGAACCCCACTTTGTTTTTTGAGTATTTTTAGAAAACTATTTGACTAATCATCACAAAACTCTCTCTTTATATTTAAAAACTCATTAACTTTTATATTAGAAACAAATTTATAAAATAAAATAACTCATTATAGGAAAATAATTTCTTTCTGGGAAAAATAACAAATATGTGTTCAAAGCTCTGGTAATGCTATTATGGAACCTGGGTTCCAAATTACAAGTATGAAATAAATTTACTCACTACTATTAAAACTAAATAAAATCACAAATAAAACTCCGCGTCACATCCTGAGCATTCAATATGTGCTCACCTACCTATATTATTGGCACTGAATTCAAGTTTCACACTGTTGATCGTTGGAGTAATTTTCAGAGCAAAAAATGCAACAAGCGTCATCTTGATTTGTGGGCTGGGCATGAGTGGTAACATTTTCTGACATTACAGTGTCACCTGAAGAAACAGAAGATTCAGAATTCCGAAGAGGTCGAATCCTCGCTGTTTAGAGGAGTTCTAGAAGACTTTGCAATACTCTGCCCAACACAACGCCCATGAGCGCTTCCCCGACCTTCTCCGACTTCTTCCTCTCTGCGTTATAGACTTGATTGACTACTCAAGTTGCTGTTTGTAAGGTGACCCGGTCAATAAATTTATGCGAGTAATTTGGAACCCGGTTCCATATTACCTGCACCTATCGGGTTCCAAAATTAAACCTTACTTTGTTACCAAATAATCAAGAAAACAAAAACTAGTTCAAATAAATCTTAAAACTTACCTTTTGACAATGTAAACTTATGCGTATATACTTCGTGTAACACCTACTATATTTACTTTTAGAAAGAAAGAAAATTTTTGACAGTATTAGGAAATAAAAGTAAAAAACATTTGCAGGTGACATAAAATTTCAACCACTTATAACAGGTCCGAACTCGATGCAAAAATGACGCCAGTGGTGCTACGTTCAATGACATCAGTTCGACGTAATTTCATAGGCATTCAATAGATTTATATATGTATATATAACAATCCTACATAAACGCTACCTATATGAAATAATTATTTATAGAAAAAAGTGAGTCTCCACACGTTATTTTCATAAAACCAAGACTGTAAAATAAGTTTAGTATCAATTTTATTTATAAATTCAAAAGAGAATGAAGTGAATATAACTAAAAATATGAACGTGTTCTTTTCTTTGTTATCAGTGTTATCAACAACTAAAAAATGCCCCTGAAATAAAGATGAAATACTCCCAAATAACCCTAAATGCAATTTTCAAAAGGGCAAAAAAATACCCTGTATTGTATTCAAAGACATTGTTTAAATGTCTTTCACGTTTTGTTAAGGTAAATAAAATATAACTCTGCTGTAATTCCTTTTTATTACAAATAATTGAAATAATTAACTAACAATAAATTTTAAGTAACATTTCATTAAATAATTTCATAAAACATTTTGCTTTATTTACTCATTTCGTTCAGTCAAAATAGTTATGCATGAAATATTATTTATGCCACTAAAATAGCCCTAAAGTTTTTAGACCCTATAAAAGCCCAATAAGCATACCATGCCCGCCCTAAATTTGGGGCTAAAAGCCCAAAGTTGGCAATCCTCTTTTTAATGTAAAGGTGAAGTACGATGGCGCTGCGATTCTTTTGGAGTAGAATGCAACTTTGGTTTGTAGTTGGAACTTTTCAGAGCAATAGATGTCGCTTTTCTACCATCCTACTACATTTTACATTGCGAAAAGTTTTCGGTAAATCAATCACTAGATGGCGGTAAAATAACCATTTGGGTAGTATTTCTTAATTCTTAAAATAAAGTAATTATTGTTATAATAATTAAATGAAGTAAATATTCTTAATAATTCTTACTCATATATCGTTCACATTTGACAAACCAAACTTCAGTTCAGTTCAAGTTTCAGTTTTTTGTTATCTGTTGCCGTCCAAATTTTAGAGTTTAGAAATTATACTACACAGCAAGTAACTTGCTAGAACTTTAGAATAGTATGAGAACTCGACCTATTATGAGAACCAAAATCATTAATATTCTTACAACTATTCCAAATACATTTTTTCTCTGGTGCCAAATACTGTTAGTCGATACAATAATTTGGTTGATCAAAACTAAGTTTTGATCTTAGGACCTGTTACCATATATTAGTGTGCTGATATGAAGTTCAATCTACCATTGGAAATAAATGAACGTTCCATAAGAGGCACTACAATATTCCCTTAAGTAATAATTGAGTATTCTTAATATTCTCTTACAAAATTCCGTACATTTAATATGCTATTCCATTTATCCTCTATTTATAGAAAAAAAAAGTCTTAAAAATAGGCCTTATCTTTGCAAATATACATCACAGGCAATATAAAGGAGCCACTTTAGAATGCCTGGATGTGGACAGAAATACTTTATCTGACCGCCATAAATTCCTTCATAGTACCATAAATCTCAATAATTATGAATTCTAATATTCACATTTAGTCGCCATGAAATGAAATAAAAATAAGGCTATTATGAACCTTATTCTTATATATTACAGATATTCACTAACAATGTAATTAATCTTAATAGATGCATCGGTTTCATAATATCACATAAATAATTACCTCCACCTATTTTTATGTAAAGGAAGCTATTATGATTGAAACTCTTCGTCTTATATTTTCGTACTACGTTTATTTAATGTCTGTGATTTCATGTTTTTGGAACCCGCTACGACACATCATTTAACGTCTAAAAACGTATTTTATTAAAATTTAAGCAAGTTTAAGCGTTTCTTTAATTTGTAATTGTACTTTGTAAGTTTATGCTACGTATCGCTAGGTGGCGTAACTAGTTCAGTCAGAATTATAAATGCAAATTAAAATTTCTCAGCTATAACGATTAATCACGATTATTAGTAATTATGGTAAAGTATGTATATGCATGATAATAAAATAAAATTAAAATAAAAAATATAGAGGAACCTATTAGGCGGCACAGTATTTAATTCCTAATGTAAAAGTCGTTTTTCATCAAAATATAAATAATTAAAAAGATTTCAGGCAATTGTAATTGTACTTTGTAAATTTATGCTACACACCGCTTGGTGGTGTAACTAGTTCAGTACAAAAGCATGATAATTTCTTATATTAAGCGGCCGATTACATATTACAAACTTAAAATAAATGTGGTAAATCAATAATCATTTAGTAGTATAAATACAATTTTGTGATGTCTGCTGTCTGTCTGTTCCTAGATCTTTAAAACTACGTAACGGATCTTGATGCGTAGTATAATACATTACACCTGCGCGGATACGGGGTGGATCGCTAGTTAAAAATAAAGGAAGCAAAATGAAGGAATTCAATGTAAATATGTACTAAATAAAATATTCCTCCGCAGTTGGCTGTGGTTTAGTGTGTATTTAGTGTCAGTGGTTTCTAGTAAGTGGAACTTCTTGTTAAAATAAAAATGTTTCATTTATACTTTGAACGATCATGCTATTCACCGCTAGGTGGTGTAACTAGTTCTTCATTAAGAAAGAAATAATAATTTAAAAAAATGGAAGGTCGAGATTTAATTGGGGAATTTTTTGTTAAATCTCATTTTTAAACTGTCGGCGTCGGCTTATTAATTCTGAAGCAAGTGTTGTGAGAAGGGCGATTTTCTGAAGAAAGAGAGTGGAAATTATTCCAAATATTTTTCTCATAGTTATTGTTTCTTAGAACCTAAGTGACAGACAGTAAACTTATAGATAAAGTAAATGTACACCCCTAAAACGTAATTTTAACATACACGGTTTATTGAGTATGGTAACTGCATTAATAGGACAAGAGAATTGAAGGCCATCATATCATAATTTTAATGTTTTTTGCCTTTGTAATTGCGTAACCCCCGGCAAAGAGATTGACATTAGGGTTTTCCTATGTAGTATACGTCTGCTTGTATGATTTCAATACTTCTCAACTGATTGACACTGAAAATGATGCGCGACGGAGAACGAATATCGCATGAAATTATGTCCGATCGCTGACGTGTTCACCTTTACGCTGATTTTGCTAATTGCGTTCATAGTACACGTCAAAAGACATAGTAAACAAGGTATACGTTTTTACAGAGGGTTGCGCCCCTGTCATCTTTCATCTTTTGTTCACTACACGTGTTCAGGTAATCTGGTTAGAAATTATGCCTGAACAATGGAAGCAGACGCCCGCAAATGTACGTACAATGGATATAATTTTCCATATGTAATACGATAGATGTATTGATCAGTCTGCCGAAGTAATTAAGGATGGAGCCCTCTCGTCGGTATCATATTTTTGAAATAATAACAACGCTTCTAACGTTCGATTTAAAACTGTTACTATATATATTGTGATGTTAGGAAGTATTATTATTTAAGCGTGTCTGTACAATTATTTTATCTTTTATAAAGAATGAAGATGGTGAGAAAATTTTATTAGCATATTATTATTAAAATGTGCTCACCAATGACGGAAAACATCGTACCGAAGAAACCTGCATACCTTAGAGATGATACAATAAAATAGAATATTTTGAAGATATTTGAAGTCTGCAAGTCACGGTGGGGTCACATGGTGGACTATGCCCTAGTACCCCCTATACAGATTAGGCATTTACCCCAGCTGGGGGACACATAGGCTGCTATTTATAAACTAATAAGAGTTTCTAACTTGCTTTTATAATTATATTTTACTTTACATCCTTTAAATTATATGATAACGCATTAGTGGCTATTGCGAAACTTCTTTTTTGTATGGCGTCAATTCTAATAATGGTCAGGATTCCAAGTTGGAGGATAAATTATTAAGTGTATTCTGAGCGTTGCTTTAAAATATTTAGGCAGTTCATGCAAAGTACTTTAAACTTTCCCAACATGTCCCGGCGGACTTATTGCGTTCAGCTATTACTTTATAAAACACCTATATATATACAATACAATGACATGTAATGTGACGATGGATGTTTATCATTTTGTAATAACTAGTAAGCTTTTAAAATTCTGTATAATGCCATCGATTTTGATGAATTGCAATAAACCAATTACAAAATGTCTTTAGAAATGTTAATTTTATTTATTAATTGACGTGGATAAATTCGTTGCAATATATTTATATATAGGTATTCAAGGTAAAAACTTTTTTACCGCTCAAAATTTACAATGTCGCTAGTGAGTACAAGATGGCATCACAAGCCGCTTTTAAAGTAACTTGGAAAATCTGAAATTGGAAATAAAATTAATAAGGTTATAATGAGATTATTGATTTATACTATTTTATTTATTTTACTATTATGTCTCTGAGTGTATTCCGGGCTCCGATGTTAAAGATTGCTCGGACAGCTCTTTTTTGAAGAATAAATATAGAATTTATATCAGATGCACTACCCCACAACAAAATGCCAAAATGGTGCAATATACGGCATTATTGTGCTCATTAATTTTATGGATATGCTCCACAAATCTCCTGTATTTTTAAGATTAATAGAATTCAAAACTTATAATATCATTAGTATCTATGTGATTAAATACATTCATTTGAACTTATCTCAAAAAGTGTGTGATTTATGGGCAACTCATTTATTTTACGCGCAATCATTCATAACTAACACGCACATAAGTTCGTTTCAAAAGTATTCGACGCATTTATGAATGACTGCCGCATTGTCAACAAGTTCTGTTTTTTAGGGAATAGAATGGCAATTTTTTGAAAAAAATTTTTTTTATTTCAATAAACGATTATGGCTACCGAGTCTGAACCTCCTGTGTAAGTTTGGGCACCCTTAGAAAAGCCAACTTGTATATTTTTATAGTATTTATTTTATTAATAATATTTATTATTTATAATATTTTATTCCTTTTATTCATACTACTTTATTTATTGAGTTTTAAATATACACAGACAGAAAACTATTTGATTTCAATGATTTATTTCAAAATAAGTTTATGAAAAATGTTTAATAAAACCATATCATCTTATTAGAAAAAAAAGCAATATTTTAAAATGAGTGTTTTCGAAAACCTTTCCAGATACCAAAGATCTAGTTGCAACTGAATGCAACTTTTTAAAATGATTCTTTTGCAAAAAAAATTATACAAATACTTTCGCAGTATACATTTTTGATAATAAAATATAATTTTAGATTAAGACTAACGCCCGATTTCTGAAACACTGATAATCGTAGATTTCAACCAATCAGCTGTTAAATGGCTTTTCAAATGTTGTTTTAGTTGCCAAAAGGATGGTTAAACTCTTAAAATTGATGATTTTGACCATTATGAAGATCGTTCTGGTCAATTCATAAAGTTTAACCATCCTTTTGGCAAATAAAATGAAATTTTAAATGCCATTTGACAGCTGATTAGTTAACATCTACGATGATCAGAGTTTCAGAAATCGGCCGTTAGTATGTTATACATATTTTTTACAAGGTAGAAATCATTTTAGGTTATAAATTAAACATTTAATTCATGAAGAGATTAAATATGGAATAATATCTCGGTTTAACTCTAATTAAAATCGTTTAGACACAAGAATTTTCAATTCTATTTGTAAGAGAAAACTGTCACTGAGGAGCCACAATTTTCACCTTTATTTTTTTGGTCTTATTTATGGCCGCAGTGGGGTCGCGTGGTGGACTATGTTAATACTTTTTGTACAGAAAAGCCTTTACCCAGCAGTGGGACTTTTGGAGGATGATAGTTTACTTTACTTTTAATTTCTCACTAAGCTAATCTCGGTTGTCGCATCCAGCTGGTGAATTGGTCCGCGTCGATTTAGTACAGACAATTGTTCCAGGAATCACACTGATGGCGGCCGACGGGGGTGGGGTGGTGGCGTCGGGCGTGATCAAGCGCACGCTCGATGCCATGCGCGAGGCTTCATCGGCCCCGCCCAACACCCCCGCGGGTCGAAAGGGCCACCTGCCTCCCCCGGTGGCCCCACCGGGGGAGGCAGGTGGGCCTCCGTCCCCCCTGGCCGTCGTATCCGGGGATGACGATTCGCCGCGGTGCTCCTCCACGAGGTGCGTTATTAGGTTTTAACATACGGTGAACAATGAATTAGCCTTGAAAAAACAACTACGCATCTATACGCGGCTACGATACCGTTACATCCGTTTCCCGCGAAATGTTCATATGCTACGACGTAGCACCGGCACTCAGCTATTGTAGTATGAATCAAATAAAATGATGAAGACAATTAAATAAATACTTTGCTTAGGTTGGGTCTGTCAGGCTCGTGGAAAATTGGCATTTCCACGAGCAATGTATTATACATATAAACCTTCCTTTTGAATCACTCTATTTAGTAAAAAAAACCGCATCAAGATCGGTTGCGTAGTTTTAAAGATCTAAGCGTACATAGGGACAGACAGACAACGGGACGACTTTTTTTTATACTGTGATGCACAGCGAAGACGTTTACATTTCAAGACACATAATACCACAGTCACTCACTTGTTTTGCCTTCCCGAAACGCTTCCACTGACACCTAAACTTTATGGTATGGTATTAAAGTTCAAGTTGACTTTTAAGTATTATTACGAATGTTTTTAGACTTTTTCAGGCAATTTTTTAATTTTTTTTAGTTTTTTTCTATTTATGGTTTTTTTTATGATTATTGGCAAGTAGCGTTAGACGTGTGTTCATTTATTGTCGTGATGGTAACGACATGCTGTATATAGACACTATTAGGTACATATTTTTTCAAAACATGTACCTAATAGTGTACATATTTGTACATGTACAGTATTAGGTGTACATATTTTTTCAAAACCTGTCTTACTGTCTGATCCGAAGATATATTAAATATAAATAATATAAAATTAGATATAAATAATATTTAGTACAGCATCTTCGGATCTGATAAATTTTTTACGTCGAAATTCTACGCTACAATTACTTTACAAACAACACTATTAAACATAAGGAGGTGTGACGTTGTGTCCAGGCACTTTGTCGCTTTCGATTCAATTTACTCGGGCAACCTAAGTTCAAATTTCGGTGCCGGCACCAATGAAATTATAAACTTTAAGTGCTGACGTATCATGTACGCAGCGGCGAAGGAAAATATGTTTACCGACGGTCCCTACTTACATAGACATGTCAAATATTTTTTTTTTTTTTTATTGCATCTCGGCTTTAGATTTTTTAAATACACATACCTTTATAAGTTTTAAAAAGAATTTTGTTCATGACATGCTTTTATTTTAATACTAATGAATAGGGTGAAAGCGAAAAATTCAGATAGATATAGAAAGATATCTATACATATAATAAAAATGTAACTGATCTTTGTCTGTACATGGAAGATACTTGAGAAAAACTCAAAGGTCCGCCTTTATCAACGCAATAGAACCCAAAACAAAATAGTTGTTAAAATTTTGTCTGTGTGTATGTGCGTTTGTGGCCGCTAATCTCAGAAAAGGCTTAACCGATTTGCAACTTTCACTAATTCATTTTAGTACTTCACTTAATTTTTAATGTTAGTTTCATTCAAATCGGTTCATAATTAAAAAAGTTATATCAACATAAAAAAAGTAATAGCTACAGTGACGATCTCCGCTTGAATTATGTGTCTTTGTATAGAAGTTACGTTTATATGAAGTTGAAAATGGAATCCGCCATTGTACAATTTTACACCGACGTTGAGCGGGACTTTATATGCAGAAAAGCCACTTGCAGTAAGCGAACTTAAAAACTCAACCGGCTAATTTGTGGCTTGGTCAACGCTTGCAGTGAGCATAATGTGTTCACATAACCAAGAATTATCCTGACATCATCAGAAAAATTCTTGGTTATGTAAACACTTACACAAATACTGAAGTTATCAGTTTGTTTTCGGAGAAAACGACTGTACCAAGTATGTCTGGAAGACACACCTACCGAGTTTGTACTAAAAAGTCGATACCGAATCTAATATTTTTTTACGTAAATTCAATTATTTAGAAAATAATTGAATTTACGTAAATGCACTAGGTTTTGTTTTAAAATACCCCGAAAAGCACATGTGACCCTTTTTCTAAATGGTGGAAATTTATTAAATATGGAATCTCGTAGATTCGTGCATTATAGTAGTATGCTGTATAAAGTCATTCGTAATCGAGAGCCACTGTATTTATATGAGAAACTTCTTTTTTCTGAACGCAACACCCGGGTTGCAAGTCGATTAAGGCACACAAAACATAGGGCATCCTCATTTCGTGGTAGCTTTCGCTACGCTGCCACAAAATACTGGAATAATATACCACCTCCAGTCAAAAACTGCACAACAGTAAAAAGTTTTAAAATAAAACTTCTAATAAATAAGAACATGAACTTAAGGTGCAAAAGCAACAGGGCTAAAATACGTGTGCATTTTATATACAGTGTACATAGTTTATGTATTTTTGATTAGTGACTTGGTGTTTTCGTAGAGCTATATTATATTGATGTTTGCATTTGTTATTGTTTTGTTTTTGGAAATAGTTTTCTTTTTTTATTCTGTTCACTGCTTTTTACTTATAGATGTTAATTTTCATTAGTCGTTATTATGTTACTGTCTTTAGAATAATGTACCAGATATGTGTTATAATCAATAGGTATTGTGTTATTGTCCTTGAATTAATGTACGCGCTTTGTGTTAATCTTAGTCTAGTTTGTTATTTATAATTTTATTTTTTGGTATGTACTGAAAATCGCGAAATCGTACCGAGTACATACCTATTTGGTTTCATGTCTTAGATATATATTCTTTTAATTGTTACCATAACTGTGTTTGTTGTTGAAACTAAATAAAATATTCATTCATTCATTCATTCAAATACTACAAAATAAGTACCTTAATTACAAAAAAATATCGGGTACAATTTGTGATTCAGTGACAAAAAAACATAATTTCCAAACCACAAAGCAAAATCAGTAATATCCGAATATCCTAGCCTAACCAAACCTATGTTCCTAAACAGTGACTTGTCTGTTGTGAAACAGTGATTTGTCTGTTGGTCGCCCAAACTCGCTTGAAGGCACAAAACATTAAACAAATAAAGTACATTATATTATTATGGAGCCAAATAATGGTACCTACTTATCAGGCCCGCTTGATTTGTTATAATTTTTATGGAATATCGCCTACGCAAAGAAGCAAGAGGCGAAAAGTGAGCGCCACTGCAAAAAAAATCCCACTAATTTGCAGCCCCCTATAGCAAAACTATAATCGTACCTATCGTAAAACTTATCGTAAAGATCTTAATCCAAAAAATTCATTAAACAAATTCATTAAAAAAGTATTCAAAATTAAATGCATCATTAAACAAAGCTTTTGTTTAATGATGCACACAATTAATCTTGAATACTTTCTAAAACACCACACAAATTAGTCCAGTAGGGATAACTGTGATAACAGTTAGCGACTGCACTGCTGCTGCTAATCTTAGAACTCCCATATCTCCCGTTTCAGTGAACCGATTGAGAACAAAGCCTATATGTTGCCCCAAGCTTTGCTTGAGTAACCAGTGATAACTGCATCAAAATCCGATAAGTAGTTTTCAAGTTTATCGCGAACAGACACAGACAAATATAAATTCCAAAAATGGTTTTTATGTTTCCTATATCTCTTTTTATGATACCCTATTCCATTTTTTCATAAATATATTTAATGGACAGACACGCCGATTCTACTATTTTATTATAGTATAAATAGAAGATAGATAAGCGTTTCTACGCTTATATTAAAGTCGTCTATAAATTTTTCCAAGAAAATATAAATAAAGAAAATATGTATAAATACCGTTATGAAGTTCCTAAAGCTAATAAATCATTATACAGCGTGGCTTTTCTAAGTGTATCCATTTATTTTATTAAATTCTAAACATAAATAATGATATGTAAAAAATGATAAATATTTTAAATCACTCGTAAGTAATTAATTACATTCATTTGAACTTATCTCAAAAAGTGGGTGATTTATACGCAATTATTTATTTTATGCGCGATCATTCATAACTAACACGCACACAAGTTTATGCACAGTAAAATTTAGGTATTTATAATTGACCACCGCATTGTCTACACGTTCTGGGAATAGAATGGCTTTTTTTTTTTTTGGAAAAAATAACTATGTTTTTTATTTCAATAAACGATTATACTACCGAGTCTAGACCTCCTGTGTAAATTTGGGCACTACTCAAAAAATGTCCCTGTAGAAAAAAGTATTTATTAATTTGTACATAGGATTATTTCTAGAGCTTTATGACGTTTTTATGTACGTAGGGGCCGTTGATATTTTCGAAATATTATATTGTTTGCCTCGTATCGCCGTATTTCGCGAGCGCGATAGCGAGTAATTGAAAGCTCCTATCGGGGTGCGGATGTTTAGAACTCTGCCATTACGAATGTCACGCCATTATTTAGTAAAGGGAAAATCGGTCTAGAGCAATGCCTAATGGTACGAATGGTTCCGTACCATTATCTATAAAAAGCGCAAAAAAATTTGTATGGGGCCCACCAATTTTTTTTTATTCTTTTTATTAGAATTTGTTGTTAGAGCGGAAACAGAAATACATCATCTGTGAAAATTTCAACAGTTCAACCATCACGGTTCATGACATACTGCCTGGGGAGTCTTAGAAAATGAGACGCGTTTTACTCTTTGGGTACGGTACCCTAAAAATGAATAGCAACCCCACTGGAGCCCTCCGTGACCAAATTTTAATTGGTAAGTGTGATTATTTTTCGTAATTTTTCGATGCTTTCTTTTATTGGCAATTTTCTCATTTCATCCGTAGCGCCATCAGTACTTTACGCCGGTCTTCTGTGAGATCGTGGTACTAACTCTGCGGACCTGCCCATTCGTGCAACAGCAATACATCCGTCTTAAACCAACCCACGCTTGAGCTGCGACGTCAAGCGATTACGAACCAGAACACCGTCAGGTACCTTGGGTGCCAGATAGACCACTCGCTGAGTATGGCTCCCCAAGTCGAACACTCAGTTCGACAAGCCAAGGCAGCTCGAGCGATCCTCTACCCAATTCTGGTATCCAAGCTACCGATCAAGGCAGAAATCGGCGTCTACAAGACGTACGTGGCGTGGTACGCACTGCTTTCCGCCTCGCAGGGCTCCAGGCGCAGCAGAACCTCGCCCTTCCAGCGATCGTGGGGGCTGGATGTTACTTCAGGAATGACGTGATTGCAAGAGACCTAAAGATCGAGTCTATCGAGGAGTTTGAGGTCCGGTTGGCCCGTCACATGTACGACAGGGCCGACAACGGGCCATGGCCACATCTGGAGAACATCGCTCACCTCCACGCCCGTCCTCCTGACCGACGCCCACTCCCACGAGAGCTACTGCGGTTGGAACAGGCCATTGGGAGGCCGGACCCGACCGCACTTCCGCCGTGTCGAAGACAATGTCGTCGAGCGTAACTCTGTGTACATCCGCCAGTGCCGCTACCGCGGTCAGAGTTAGGGATGGTCAGCGATCATCCTTACAAACGACCCGCCTCTTGCTGGTAGAGATCACACGTCCAAGCAATGGGGATTAGGCCCCGAGGCTTGTTTAAGCAGGGCCTTTTGGCCAGCTGCAGTACATCGTAACGCAACAACGAACACTGTTGCGAACACCTTCTTGAATTTCCTGTTTATTCCTTCTATAATATATGTTATACCTTCTATTCTCCTCGTGTCTCATTTTTCTTTTAATATATTTTTTGTCTTCTTTTCAGCTTTGATATTTCATTAAGTTCAGGCGAAACAGGGCAGTCCATTAGCATTAAAAATTAAATATTTTATGTTATACTTCTATATAGTATTAACCAAAGGTAACGTAAGTGGTGGAAATTAAAAAAAATGCAAGTTCTAATGAATAATATTGGAATAGGGAAGACATTATGAATAAAAGCATTTGGACGAAAGCATTCAATTTAAATATAATTTATGAGTAGCTGTTGGAAAAACTTATACAAAGGGTTTAAATTTAAAAACGTTCATTCCCTTTTTTGCTATCAATAAAGCGTAGTTTGGCCGCGGCACGGCATAATTGCAAAATATTCTCGAAATTTCACGGTAATTGAATTTGCATCAATTACAGTCGCCAGACAAAGCATATTTCGCTCAGTGCCTGAAAATTGTTGTCAATAATTAACTCATTGATACCACTCGATTAATACTGACGGTTAGTGATTTTACTATAAATATCTGTTCAAGGTTTTTGGTATATTTTGATTTAATAAAATGTGCACTTTCAATAGTCACATTCCTTCCACACAATATACAAATACAAGTACCTACTATAATAGTCCCGTTTAACGAGGTTGTGTTTTCACACGGACATACACAAAATATGCCTGGTTGGGGCCTAGGAATTGCACTTACTTTCCCGTCATATATAAAATTTTGGTTTGAAATCAAGCACAAGGTGTCTAGGTGCTACTAATGCTAAGGTTTAATTTACAAAAGGAAACTTTTATCTATACTGAAATTGGCATCGATTTGGTACGATACCGTTATCTGGTATGTTGTTTGCAGCATGCTGTGTTGTTTACGCGTGCTTTAGGGAAGGGAAAGCGGTAGTTTTGCGGCCCTACTCTGTGAGTTTTGGTTAGAGGCGATACTTGGTATCCGTGTACGCTCAAACTCAAAGTCTTTTCATCCAATTGAAGCGTATTTCAAACCCTTACATTGAATTTCAGCGACGGTTAAAATTATCAATGATGGATATTCTAAGGAGGAATCGGCTAAAATCCACATAACAATTTATTTCATTTTAAGTTTTAGTATAATTTAAAAATGGTCACAGTAAAAATATAACTGCCTAGTTTTCTAACATTAAAATTATTTAATTTAAATACCTATATAATTAAAATATTTAACATTACGATTTAATAATGTACAAAGATTTTATGATGATGATGTGAGACAATCATGGAGATCAGCGCCGCCTAGAGAATCCTTCCTTTCAAATATATTGTGTATGGCGAGCAATAACGTTAATTTATTAGTCCGTAAAAGTCACATATTTAATTTTTATAAAGTAAGGTTTCTCTAAAGGTTTTTTCTGATCTTTTTGTAAGCGAAAAAAAGCATTTAATTACTTTTTATAAAGTTGAAGTAGTTTAATATAGGTAATTGAAAAAAAAATTAACCAAGCGGCAGAATATAACTTTGTCATGTCTAGGAAAGAGTTATTAATTGAGAAAAAAGTTTACTCGAGTGGCAGAATATTGCCTTGAAAATTAAATAAAAACCGGCCAAGTACGAGTCGCACTTTCGCACGAAGGGTTCCGTACCATTATCAATAAAAACGGCAAAAAATCAACTGTGTTGTATGGGAGCCCGACATAAATATTTTTTATTCTGGTTTTTAATATTTGTTATTATAGCGGCCATAGAAATACATCATTTGTGAAAATTTCAACTGTCTAACTGTCACGGATGAAATACAGCCTGATGACAGACGGATAGACAGACAGACATACAAACAGCGGAGTCTTAATAGAGTCCCGTTTTACCCTTTGGGTGCGGAATCCTAAAAAGTGTTAGGAGTATATTAATTTCTCGCTGACCCAATAGACCGTCGCCTGTCAACTACGGCCACCCATTTAACGGGAAACGTAATTAAGGCTAGCTTTGATAAAATCAGTTCGAATTAGCCCATGTGACGCATTTAACGGATGCAATTTCAATTTAGTCCTTAAGTACGATCGAGTGAAGGGGAAGGCTTTGATTAAATTTCTTCTACGAAACAAGTTTTTGTGACTAATTTGATACGATGGGGGCTTTGATCAAGTTAATTATTAGTAAACGGGAGACCGACAGTACAATTTATGAAAAATTTCTTTAGCGACGCATAGATTTATATTTACAGATGCATAGCGCATGACTTTGATTATATTTTTGAGACTGACTCTATAGTTACTATTAACTACCCGACTATAGTAATTCACAATGAAGGTGCCACTGACTGCCCTAATGAAGCTGTTTATTAATACATGATGGTACTGTGGTAGGGCCACGCAGCAGCCTCGGCTGTTGCACGAATGGGCAGGCCCGTCCGGGTAAGTACCACGACCTCACAGAAGACCAGCGTAAAGTGGAAGTATAACAAATACAACATATTACATACAACATATAACAAATACAATATATTTATAATATTATAAAGGCGAAATTTTGTATGTATGGATGGATGTTTGTTACACTTTAACGCAAATACTTCTGAATGGATTTTAATGAACTTTACAATAATATAGCTTATACATCAGAATAAGACATAGGCTATAATTTATATACATTTTTATGTATATCTGTCTTTCTATCTGAATGTTACGCCTATTCAACGCAGACGTAGTCGCGGGCAGCAGGTAGTAAATCAATATAACTTAAGGACTTAATCGTGCGGAATAAGCGTTATGTGGGCAACTGATTATCTACATATGTTCGAGAGTAGGTAGTAGTCACGAATGGGCTGGCCCATCCGGGTAAGTACCATGAGCTCACAGAAGACCAGCGTAAAGTGGAAGTATGACAAACACTTTCGCGTTTCGTCTGGTGAGTGAGGTAGCCGGAGCCCAATTTTCAATAGGTTGTCAACGCATGTGTAACCCTCGGATCAAGCAGATGTCCGTGGGCGGCAGTATTCTCTTACCATCAGGTGAACCAGATACTCACTGTTGCGTCTCAATATATTTATTGTAATATTTGTATGTTAAACATAATATTAATAATTATCTAAAGAATAGTGACAGACATAAAATAAATACTAGAAATAAGGACAACAAAAACAACAAACTAACTACGCCATTGTTTCGTCTACAAAAATTAAACAGATCGTTCATGGGGCAAAGTGTGCGCATGTATAATAAAATCCCACAGTCGATATTAAGTCTGCCACTTGATGAATTTAAACGAAAAGTTAAAAGTAAACTTATGGCTAAAGCACATTATACTATTGCTGAATATCTTGACGACGCCAATGTGTAGGCTTAATACTGTTGATACTCACGTAGGCTAAAATAAGACTATTATACCTGTAACATTATATTGTAAACTGACCTTTTAAAAAAGAGCAACTGTTGAGTTTCTTGCCGGTTTCTTCTCAACAGAAACTGCTTTCCGAACCGGTGGTAACTTACGAACATATTAATTTCCTTGTAAAATTTCGACGTTTCATAAGAACGCGCAAGCGCCTATATGAATAAAGATATATTATTATTATTATTGCAGGGTATTTATTTGTATTCTCGTCTGGTTGGGTTTATAAATAAAAAATAAACATATAAGTAGATATATATTGCATATATAACATAATTATTATAAATAAGAATAAACATATAGATATAAATATTACATAATTATAATACATAAATAAATAGGACCCAACCAGACGGAAGCCCTCGGCAGGGGAGACCAAACGGCCGAGGGCTAGGGCGAAAGGGAAAGGGACCGGCGGACGATGCGGGCGGTATCGAGGAGCACCGCTATCTGCATTAGAGCTTGGAGCGTTCCGTCCCGGAGTCCCAGTCTCCTCAGATGTCCGGAGAGGCTGACTGGGATCAACCCATTCGCAGACACGACTATCGGGATAATTTCGGCCGGCACACCACCCCTTATGTCGGTCATCTCGTGAGCCAGGTCCAGATACTTCGTCTTCTTATCTGTTTCGGCTTTCACGAGGTTCTCTTCATATGGAATGGTAATGTCGACCAAAAATACCCGCGACTGTGCCCGGTCAATCAAATTTGTTCGCGACAATCGTCCTGTCCGTGATGATGGTCCGGTCCCAATAGAGCCTGGCGCGGTCATTTTCGAGCACGGCCAACGGAGAGTACTTATAGTACGGCAGTTTCCGATCCACGAGGCCGTATTTCAGAGCGAGCTCCTGGTGTAGGATTCTGGCTACTAGGTTGTGTCTATGCAGATACTCAGAGTTAGAAAGCATGGATCAATCGGAGCTAACATGCCGAAGCGACTCCCCGGGATGGCGACTAGCTCGACAGATGTCGACGGTGCCATCCCTTAGGATGTATTTCCGATAGTTGTTTCCGTTATAATTATTATAACCGCCTGCTCGCTTGGTAACTTTTGACATAAAAATGGTGATGTTTTTTATTTTCTAGGTTATTTGTTCTTTTGTTGCTGTAACGTAGTCTACCTATTGCATTAGCAGGTCGTTTCCTAGGATCATATAACAAAAAATGCTCCAGTATTAGCACGATAAAATTCAGCAACAAAGTGTAATTTAGCTAGTCTTAACCTATTCCCTTGGCAATAAGCCACGAGTATTTACGGCTTTATGCTATAACTGTCATATAACTTATCTTTGTTTTGTTATTATAAAAGCTTTCTAACGGGGCTACAGTGATAAATACATATCTTGGCATGACTGCACTACGATTAGTTCTCAGATATCTTATGTAAACAAGGCGAATGATTTGCAAGTGTTTTTCGTAACTATGTATTATCGCCAGCACTAGTTTGTTGACCTTTTGAACATGAGGTGCACGGCATCTTAGATCAGGGACAATATTTGCAAAAGATATCGTGTCGCATTTAGGTTACACTTGCTGACAAAAACGAAAAAGAAGTAACCGAGATGAACTGTTAATACTTTGAGCTGTTCAAATTTGAGACGTGTGTCTTCCTATTTTAATATCCGCATCACAAACATAATTATTGTGCAATAATTGTGATTATCAATGCACCTATTTTTCTTTAACCCAAGACTGTCGATTATTTAGAGTTATTAAATAATATACCTATAGCAGGAACAAAGCATTTGTATGAAATTCTAACGGGACCGTGACCGGTCCAGCCGTGACCGAGGCCTTTTAACGAGGAGAAGGCGGGAAAAGGTCCTCCAAAGGCTCTCAGAGCGCGCCATTGGACCACCGGACACGTCACCTAACCGGGCAATTAATAGTCGAGGTGTGAACCGCGTGCGTCAGTCAATCAGTATACGGCGCAGAGCAACATCGCAGCGGCTAATGTGCTTGCAGCCGCTAAAAACACTGAACGGACGTGGTGGGGGCGGGGCGAGTCAGTGCGCGCGCGATGCGTCCGCTTATGCACGCGTGCAGCCACGCCGCTGCGCAGTAGCACACCGGCAACCACAACGTGAACACCATGGACTGGCCCATGGTAGGCGAGTGGCCGAGCCATCAGTGCGACCCGTACTACCCGTACTACGAGGAGAAGAGCGCGCCGCCGCCGCCCGCGCAGCATGACTACCAACTGAACCAAACGTTCACCCTTCTACTCGCCCCGCCTGACGCGATACCGCCACCCCCCGACATGGCGCCGAAAGGGTAAGTCCGTTTTTTTACTGTTCGAACGTGTTGCGCATTGCATATTTAGTGTTCTGAGGTTTTCGCGCGTCCCGACCTTGATCTTCAAACTCATTATAATCAACGTTACTGTAATCACTTGCAAGGTGCTAAAGAATGCTCGTTGTTCGACGCTCACAATTATGCGTCCAAGACATCGTAGCTCGTAGTATACTTTAAGGAATCTATACATGCATCTACATTGATGTGGATTTAATTGGATGTACTGTGTATTCTTTCTCAGCTTTATGTTATCATCTATCGGATACAAGAGTATTCAGATTTCAGTTCCAACTTACTACTTTCCCCTTATGATGAATCATTTCCATCCCACTCACAAAGCATCCAAAATGTCAGCCTGCTCACAAAACATCTTAAACAGAAATAAATATGTTACTATATTCGACGTAAGTCCACCAATAAAGGCATAAAAATATATGAAGTTTACATTAAACAAGTTTCCTTTAGTATAATATACTATATTTGTACCCGTTTAGTTATTGACATCCTAAGCATTAATAAAGAAAAGTGGAATTAGAAAATGCTATTAATTACTGGTAAATAAGTCTGCTATATTTTCGAAATTTTTAAAATTATTTTTAGACTTATGAACCCAATAGTTTTATTAAGAAATATATTGAACTTTAAACACGTAAAAACAAATGTTTTATTGTACTTTTTATGTGTTTACTTGCAATTTATACCTATTGATTCCTGTCGATGCTTAGCTTACATATATGTATATCACCGCGATCTTAAAAAATTATCGCTATAAACTAATTTATTTAGGAAAAAATTTGATTGGTACCACGTCACCATCATAGCCTTTTTTGGAATAGGTGCTGGTACTGAGTACGTACCAAGACCGCTGGTGTGAAAATAAGAGTAAAGTGTTTATAATTTTATTTGGTTAAACCACCAAGATCCATAGGTGGCGATCCTAATTTACCATCAAATCATCCCCTAGTTGCCGATCAATAGACCAAAAAATCGATCGCTTCCTTCACTCCGATTTTAAATAATTCCTTGTCACATGGTTATGAATTGCAGAAAACATTTTTTAGTTATTTTTTTTTTTTACTCTAACTTCGTAAGTTATAACTTCTTAACTGCGAACATAAGTGCACACACCTTTTTTAATGGTTGGCATTTTGCCGATACGAGATATGTTAAGTATAAAGCCCTCATAAGCTATTGAATTATTTATTTCACTTTATAAAGTATAATTTAGTAAATTGCTAATTTGCCACTGCATTACAGTCTTTAGAGGCATACTTGTATTGTACATTGTATAACAATGTTGCTCAATAGTTTTATATTAACACATAATATCAATAATATTTTTATAGATTTAATAAGTCTTCTGTTTTCTTCAGAAAAACATACGTAGAGCAGCACTTACTTCTTTCCTAATTTTTATTCTCCCTGCTTTTCACGGCATCAAACGCCGAGAAGCTGCTGTTGTCAGTGCCGAAGCGATTCATCAAACGAATTTTTAATAACTATCTTAGTGCCTTTTTACGCAGTGTCTAATAATGAAATAGCATATGAAGTTCCTTTCGATTCAAATAAACTGTTATGATATACACGCTGCCTCGCAAAAAGCTTAACCTTTGACGAGTAGTTCATTGTCATTTCATCATCGTGTCCCTTGCACTCGAACACGTATAGTCCATACATGCATATGTACAACGATGCTTATTGATTTGCAACAAGTATTTGTACCTATAACCTAAATATAACATGTACTCTATCACGGTGTCTCCGCCTTCGGACTGAATGTAGTGCATTTTAATTAATTAACCTAATTTCAGTGTCAACTCGTGCACTATAATTGGAACCAGCTGGAAATGCTCCTCTTCATTGTGAACATCTGATCTTTCCGGCATTTAGTTGTAATTATTTTGATTTATTTTACTCCGTGGGGCGTCCACCAAAGCGCCCTAACAGCTTGGTGGCCTCCCAAACCGGTGCTAATAATAATAGCGTGACGGCCCGAGTCAAGTCACCCATAATCGAGGTACGCGCTAGGCGAGGCTAAGCGCTTTCAGCGCCCGGCCTACTCAAACCCAGTGGATCTATAATGCCTCTCAAGGCCAACAGTTGTTGATCCGGCCAAAAAAAAATGATTTATTTCATTGAAGATGTCTGAACGTTAAATTTTCTCAACAAACCAACATTAGTGCATACCTATGATAATTCTCTAATAACATTTTCTTACGTTGTGTCATTTGATAGTATTATCAGGTTATATAAAGTGCTGTATCATTTACTTTAAAGATAGTAAATGTAAACAAACAACAAGTGAACCGAATCGTTTTATCATTCGAATTGACTGGAAACCGAGAAAACAGCATTCCATTATTGGCTTGGCAGTCTTTTGTAGGGTTCCGTATCCATAGGCTAAAACAGGACCCTATTACTAAGACTCTGCTGACTGTCTGTCTATCTGTCCGTCTGTCACCAGGCTTATCTCATGAACCGTGATAAGTGGACAGTTGAAATTTACACAGATGATGTATTATTCTAAAAACCAGAATTAAAATGGATTTAAGTGGGGTTCCCATACAACAGACATTACTTTTTGCCGTGTTCATAGATAATAGTACGGAACCCTTCGTATGCGAGTCCGACCCGCACTTGGCCGGTTATTAAATCTTCATCGCTCAGCCTTGCATTTAAAAGGTCTTACAAACTTTCAGCAATGAACTTAAATGAATTTATATGTCGGTTCACAGAACAGCTATTTAATGGGCTTCGAAATTTAACTTTTTGCTCACACTCCTGCCGAAGCGCACGTGGAGGCTGTGTTAAAGTTTTGTTTTCACAACCTTTGCCTTCCATTCGAGCGTGAGTTGGTCGGCTCAATTTTTCCCCTTTCCCGTAACCCTGGCAACTGCAACGTGGCTCTCGAACGCCACAGTAATATTTCGCAATATTCAATAAACGGCAGCGGCGGGGTCATATTTCCAATGTTCATTTAAACGGAAAACATTCCCCAACTCCGGACGAGATGGTGAAATGGTAAAGCACATGACGCTTCTAACTGAGCAGTGAGAAGAAGGCCCTCAAATAAAAGCCGGAAAAGCTGTAATATTGGTCCACGATATCGACTTCACGTGAGTGTTTTGGTTTTTTAGCTTTATTAACTGCGGACATAGCGATGTTCGACGTCAAAGGATATTTTTTATTACATACGCCGATGGGGTGGCTACGAGCTGATTTTGCGCTTCTGTTTTTTATCTGTCGTTTTTAACACGAACAGTCTTTTGCCGTAACAAAAGTGCTGAAATTCGTTTTAGACATTACTAATTGTTTTTCTGTAACTATGTGCAATCGTTTTTATCAATGTTGTCCGTATTGCGAACATGCCGGCAAAGATAAGAGTTTCGAAGCGCTCGAACACACGCTCGTTTCCCGATAATTCGAATCATTATTTTCATATAGGACACAGAATAGACGATGAAATTCGTGGATATATATGGCCAAGGTTGCACGTCGCATATTCTCACCAAATGATGAGAGAATCGTGACATTTTAATGAGACTATTTTTTGTTTATGATAAACTATGAGAATTTGTTTATTTATTCAAATCGGTAATCTAAGCCAATTGAACTACTCTTACATGTGTATGTCTACTGTTAGCATATATATCAAATAAATAAATATATACAAATATTTATTATATACATATCGAAGATATTAAAGACTTAATTAAGGTTACTTAAAGGAAAAATAATTCTAAAATGAAACAAATGACCGAGTTCAGAGTCCCCGAAGTGAGATCGAATGTAAGAACCAACCGGGCATCTCAAATCTTCATATTACTCTTTTTTTATGTGAAAAGTTCCCAAACGAGCAGACGGTTCACCTGATGGTAAGTGAATACCGCCGCCCATGGACATCTGCTAGATCCGAGGGTAAAGATGCGTAGACAACCTTTTGAAAATTGGGCTCCGGCTACCTCACTCACCAGACGAAACGCGAATGTTTGTCATACTTCCACTTTACGCTGGTCTTCTGTGAGCTGGTGGTACTTACCCGGACGGGCCAGCCCATTCGTGCCTACCACCTACCACCTACTCTCGAACATATGCAGATAACCAGTTGCCCACATAATGCTTATTCCGTACGATTAAGTCCTTAAGTTATATTTATTTACTAGCTGCTGCCCGCGACTACGTCTGCGTTGAATAGGCGTAACATTCAGATATACATAAAAATTTATATAAATTATAGCCTATGTCTTATTCTGATGTATAAGCTATATTATTGTAAAGTTCATTAAAATCCATTCAGAAGTATTTGCGTTAAAGAGTAACAAACATCCATCCATACATACAAACTTTCGTCTTTATAATATTATAAATATAGTAGGATTAGTAAGGATTGTCTTATTTAATTTCCGTTCCTTGCAAAAATTGTGCTTCCAAAAACTTAAGTACTTACATTTATGCTATGATTACGTTTTTACTCTTCGGAGCCAGTGTAAGTGATCGTTATCATCTATCAATATAAACTTTTGATGAAATGAAGGCCTAGGAATTTTCAAATCGGATCAAGAGTTGAGGGGGTTTCTAAAACTTCGTGGCGCGTGAAATTTACTGAATGAAATTATGTGAGCTTAATTTTAGCAAAAGAGTGGTGGAAACTACTAGTTTTCAATTCGGGCAGTGTGGCCCAAGTGGCTGCGGTATTTGACTTGCAAACTATAGTCGTAGGTTCATATTGACCAAAGGATTCCGTTTTTCGGATTTCTCACTTTGAAATCTTTTTGTTCCTTCCCGTTCTGCCCCTCTTACAGGGACAAGTGCACCATTAGTAATATTTGACATTTAATAAACTCTATGAAACATTGGTATCGGGTATTTCCGCCTTACTAATTGGGGTACAAAGTGAGGGCGTGTGTGTGAGTACATAAAGTACGACATGAAATTTATAACCGACAGTGCAGTTTTGTGTTTGCAAATAAACGTGATAT